ATAGGCAAGCCCTCTTTTGTTTAATTTGCCTTAGTAACTGCATCCTATGTCAGGTGTTCCTGAGCCAAAATTCAAATTGCCTTAACCTTTACCATGTAATCATCATAACATTGAATCTGAAGCAGGTTAGCCAAAGCCATCAAACCAGCCTTAAAATCAGGATTATTTACATCCAAATTGATTAGTGGTTCTGCATTTTTGGCTGCATTGCCAGTGGTTTTTGCATTATCAGGTACTAAGTCCTTGTATTTTTCAGCATGATCTCCATATTTAAGCCTAACAGCTAAACCAAGAAGCCTATCAATAGCTTCTTGCTGATCTTAAATCTTGAAAGGACAGCCAGCCTCTCTCAGGTACTTTTCTTCTTCTTCTTCTTCTTCTTCTTTTTTTCAATTTAAGTTCTGGGGTACATATGCAGAACATGCAGGTTTGTTACATAGGTATACATGTGCCATGGTGGTTTACTGCAGCCATCAACCTGTCATCTACATTAGGTATTTCTCCTAATGCTATTCCCCCCAGCCCCCCAACCCCCAATAGGCCCTGATGTGTGATGTTTCCCTCCCTGTGTACAAGTGTTCTTATTGTTCAACTCCCACGTATGCGAACATGCAGTGTTCGGTTTTATGTTCTGGTGTTCGGTTGCTGAGAATGATGGTTTCCAGCTTCTTCCATGTCCCTGCAAAGGATGTGAACTTATCCTTTTTTATGGCTGCATAGTATTCCATGGTATATATGTGCCACATTTTCTTTATCAGTCTATCACTGATGGGCATTTGGGTTGGTTCCAAGTCTTTGCTATTGTGAACAGTGCTACAATAAACATGCATATGCAGGTGTCCTTATAGCAGAATGATTTATAATTCTTTGGGTATATACCCAGTAATGGGATTGCTGGGTCAAACAGTATTTCTGGTTCTAGATCCTTGAGGGATCACCACACTTGTGAATCACCACACCACCTTGAGGAATCTTCCATAATTGTTGAATTAATTTACACTCCCACTAACAATGTAAAAGCGTTCCTATTTTTCCACATTCTTCTCCAGCATCTGTTGTTTCCTGACTTTTTAATGATCACCTTTCTAACTGGCATGAGATGGTATCTCATTGTGGTGGTTTTGATTTGCATTTATCTAATGACCAGTGATGATGAGCTTTTTTTCATGTGTTTCTTGGCCACATAAATGTTTTCTTTTGAGAAGTGTCTGTTCACATCCTTTGCTCACTTTTTGATGGGATTCTTTGTTTTTTTCCTATAAATGTATTTAAGTTCTTTGTAGATTCTGGATATTAGCCCTTTGTCAGATGGATAGATTGCAAAATTTTTCTCCCATTCTGTAGGTTGCCTATTCACTCTGATGATAATTTATTTTGCTATACAGAAGCTCTTTCATTTAATTGATCCCATTTGTCAATTTTGGCTTTTGCCATTGCTTTTGGTGTTTTACTCATCAACTCTTTGCCCATGCCTATGTCCTGAATGGTATTTCCTAGGTTTTCTTCTAGGGTTTTTATTGTTTTAGGTCTTATGTTTAAGTCTTTAATCTATCTTGGGTTAATTTTTGTATAAGGTGTAAGGAAGGGGTCCAGTTTCAATGTTCTGCATATGGCTAGCCAGTTTTCCCAGCACCATATATTAAATAGGAAATCCTTTCTCCATTGCTTGTTTTTGTCAGGTTTGTCAAAGATCAGATGGTTGTGGTGTGTGGTGTTATTTCTGAGGCCTCTGTTCTCTCCATTGGTCTGAGATACTTTTCAAAGAACTTGGGCCAGTCACTGCTGTGAGTGTTTCTTCAATTACCTCTGTCTTCAATCTTATAGTATCTGGTTTTCTGGTCTTCAAGCCAAACAAAGGTTAACCTTAACCTTTGTTAAAAGACTTTTTCAGAGACAGGGGCTTGCTTTGTCATCCAGGCTGGAGTGCAGTGGTGCCATGACAGCTCATTGTAACTCGGACTCTTGGACTCAAGTGATCCTCCTTGCCTCAGCCTCCTGAGTAGCTGGGACTACAGGTGTTGTGCCACTGTGCCCAGATAAACTTAACCTTTAATGTTATTACAACGTTTTTATTTAAAAGTTATTCTCTTTATTCAGAGACAGTTCTTTCTTAAAAAAAGCAAATTCTATACACTATCTACTTTTTGAATTTATATATACCTCAAAATCCAAACATTAGCAGCAATTTACTTTTTTTTTTAAAGTAGTGGAACTACTTATTCTTATTTTTGTTCAAAGTTAACCTTGTTAAAAACTAAATACAGTATACAAGATTGAAACAGAAGTCCTCGGATTGAAAAAAAAAAAAAAAGCCCTGTGTTACTTTCTCTTTGAGCAAAATACATTTTCAATACATATCTCAATCAAATGGTTAATATCTCTAACATGAAAGAATACTACAAATTGATAAGAAAATGACAAAAATCCCAATACAAAATTTGATAAACAATAATAGGCAATTCACAGAAAATTCAAATGGAAAAGGGAATGCAAATTAAAACAGATGCTTTTTCATCCTTTGGCCAATATTAAAAAGAGAACACATTCATTGATGGTTAAAATGCAGAGACATATATATATATATATATATACATTCTTTAACCTAGGAAGTTTGCCTATAGAAATAAAAGTGTCAATATTTAAGGATATCTAAGGATATACATATAATACTTTTTTTGTTTTTTTTGTTGTCATAAACTAGAAATAATCAATTCTGCAATAAGATAAATGGTTGAATTAATTATGGCACATATATAAGTTAAGAGATTGTATAGCTATGAAAAATAATGTCAGAATAATATTTGCTGATCTGGAGAGACAGGATGTACTAGAAAAATCAAATAATTGAGTAATATGTATAGAAATTATTTTTTAAATCAATGTTGCTTCTATACATATAATATATACATATCCTTTCTCTGTTATATGTTTATATTAACAAGGAGGAAATTGAGGAAGGATATGTCCCTGGTATTAACGTTGATTACAATAGAAAGCTGAGATGATAATCTCTTTTTTCAATTTTGTTTTTTGTTACAATTAATGCATATTGTTAATTTTTAAAATCGGTGAAAATATAAATATAAAAGAGTCAATTGTGTCACTAAATGATTTATTAGGTCTCATAAGTATTTGCCTGAGGAAAAGCATGGTTTATAGATTTACTGTCACCTATTGTAATAATACTGAAATGTTAAGACTTCATTACTTAAAGTGAGAAAAAAAATTCAAGTTTACACTATTATAAAAGTGTCCAGATTCAGATTTAACTACTTAGATGACTTTCTATAAGCCAAATTCCCGCAATACCAAAGACAGAAAAAATAAGCATCATTAGTCCTGAAGCGGTTAGCCCTTGATCTCAAACATCTCCTTTTCCTCTCTTTTCCACTTGTTAATAAAGCTCATCCCTTTAAGTCAGCCTTCCATTTCAGTTTATCAATGCCATCCCTTCCCTACACAATCAATTCTTAGTCTTTATGTCTAGAAACATATTACTTTTCTACTTTTCCTTTGGAGAGTGCTATCTTAATTACAAGCTAAAGACATTAGATCTAGTACCACATAGCTATTCACTGAACACCCTCATTGTGCTAGAATTTAAGAACGTAGAAATGCTTTCTTAGAGTATTTTCTGTTTACTCAAGACAACTGCTTCTTCAAGTTTTAGTGATGACTATTGTTTTACATCGACTTCTAAGACACACATATTTCCCATTTTAGCATCTCCAAAATCAAGAGATATCTTTCAATGATGATATGCTATGGTTTACTTGTTAGCTTCATATCTTACAGGTACAAAATTAAAATGGTGCACGTTATATTCAGTGGCACTTAGATTTAATAAAATATAGTAGCGACAGGGGAAAAATGGAGAAAGTAGAGTATTGTCAGGATACCGGGTTTGACCAGGGCATGAAACCCAAATGGTGTGAGACACAGAGGAAAAAGGATAAGAGCATAAGAGACAGTACAATAGTATCCAGGTAACTAGAATTTCCCTCTGCCTGCACCATGACCCTGGGAGATGATGACCATTTAAACAAAAAACGGAGATTTGATAATACGGAAGCTAGTAATTTGAATATTTGTAGAGCTTTGTCACCTTTACTGCTTTCTCCATTGAGTGGGGGAAAAATATTCAGTTTAAGATGGGGTAGAGACCAGTCTTAAAAAGAAATAATGTAAAGGAGTAAATAGAGGATCTTAGAAAGACTCTTTTTTTAAAAATTATTATTATACTTTAAGTTCTGGGGTGCATGTGCAGATGGTGCAGGTTTGTTACACAGGTATACACATGCCATGGTGGTTTGCTGCATCCATCCCCCTGTCATCTACATTACGTATTTCTCCTAATGTTATCCCTCCCCAATCCCTAACCCCCTGCTATCCCTCTCCTAGCCCCTCCACCCCCCAACAGGCCTTGGTGTGTGATGTTCCCCTCCCTATGTCCATGTGCTCTTATTGTTCAACACCCACTTATGAATGAGAACATGTGATGTTTGGTTTTCTGTTTTTGTGTCAGTTTGCTGAGAATGATGGTTTCCAGCTTCATCCATGTCCCTGTAAAGGACATGAACTCATCCTTTTTTATGGCTGCGTAATATGGAAAGAATCTTAAGGGAAAAGCTTGCATATCAAAATTGTTTTTAAAAATATTTGATAGTCTTGGAGAATGAAATTATTTTCTATAGTGTTTTACATTGAGACATTTTAATATGCAATTTATAATAAGTAAAAATCACAGGAACAGTAAAAATGTTTCAATTCAGTTGAGATATTGTGCAAACAAAGTGAATGACAAGATTAGTCTTCATAATTCTTATTTTATAAATATTATATGTTACTTTATTGTAGAATATTCTCTTCATTAGTTCACTGCTTTATTTCTTGGCCAGGTTCAAATTCCTGGGATAGGTTTTTATTTCATGCCAATGCTTTCATTAGGCAAAACCCTTTGGAATGCACTTAACAGAATTAAAAATATTCTATTCACTTACTTGAATTCCAAAAGGTTCATTTCATGGCGATAATCCCCCTGGACCATCTTTAAATTTGAAGTTTGCTCAGAACTGGCAGTCTCTATCTTTCCTAAGAGCTGCATCACCTAGTGAAAGTCCAAGAGAGTTTTTTTGTGTGTGTAGATGAACAAAACCACCAGCATTCACATTAATATACTTCATTCCTTAAGAAGCCAGGAAACAGACTTGAACCTAAAGCATGATTACACTTGAAAATGACTTGTGTTCAAATGAGAATCATAGTTACAATATCCTCAAGGAAAGGATAATAGAAGTGGTTCCATTCTGTTGTCTAGAATATTCATTTTGGTCATAGGCCATCTAATGACATAACAAAAACATGCTATTTCTGTTAGTTTGTTTATTAGTCTGTTAATCTGATTATATCTCTACTTCTCTATTGTTTCCCCAGTTACAATACAAGATACTGTATGCTATTACCACCATATCCTCAGTGCACATTAGGTGATCAATGGTAAATGCTCAACAAACACTTACTGAATAAACCTTTAAATGCACAGTCTGGCTCTGAGGAAAACACACATGACTGGCCTAAGATTTCCAGATAGCTTTCTGACATGAGCACAGGTGAATCCCAAGTGAAATGACTTAGGGCATTTAAGGATAGGAAAAAAACAAATTCCAGTTTTAGATTTAAGATTAGAGTAACTTCCAAATTGCCAGAAACATTGAGAAAGTTCTTTTACGTAAAAGAACTGGATTAAAAAATAGATGCAGAATTGCAGCCCATAATCATGTCTCAACTAGTCACTGCAGCTCTTAGGAAAGATAGAGACTGCCAGTTCTGAGCAAATTTCAAATTTAAAGGTGGTCCAGGGGGATTATTGCCACGAAATGAACCTTTTGGAATTCAAGTAAATGAATAGAAGATTTTTAAATGAATGAAACTACATGATTGGCTTTGGTCAAACAGAATTCATCTCCTAATATAGATGGTCATATGGAGAAGAGTGGGCATTTAATAAAGTCTGAGTTCTTATGAAAGAAACGGGAGTAATGGAAGGATTTTAATAGGTAAGTGTTGGATGGGCAACCAATAGCACTTGAGTGGCTATTTACAGGAGAAACTTACACTTAAAACAGGCTAAAGATGGAAATGTTTGAAGTAAAATAATAGGCATGGAAAATACAAGAAGGAAGGTAGGCAGCCTCTGGAGCAAGGAGCTGACAGACAGCTCCTTGCTGACGGCCTGCATGGACCTTAGTCCTACAGCTGCAAGGAACTGGATTCAAAAGTTAGAATGAACCTGGAAGAGGATTCATCTCCAAAACCACCCCAAAGAAGCACAACTCTGCAGACACCTCGATTTCTGCCTTGTAAGACCCTGAGTAGAGGTCCAGTCTAAGACCCCCAAATTTTGACCTACAGAAAGCATAAGATAATGCATTTGTGTTGTTTTAAACCATTATGTTTATGGTAATTTGTTAAGGCAGCAATGAAAAACTAACATACGAATATTTTAAAAATAAATGAATAAAAACAAAAAGGTATGGGATTGATGTATAAATCCAAGGGCTGTTTTTTGAAAGGATAATAGACAAAGTTTGTTCTACTCTACACATGAAAAGAGAAAACTTAAGTATTAAAATTATGAATGAAAAAAGAGTAGTTGTGAAT